CTATGGCGTGATCAAGGCTCACTGCAGCCTTGAACTTCTGGACTAAGGGATCCTCCCACCTCGGCCTCCTGAGCAGCTGGGACTACACACAGGTGCCACAACACTCAGCTTATTTTTAATGTTTTGTGGAGCCAGATCTCCTTATGTCGCCCAGGCTGGTCTGCTGGTCTCAAATACCTGGGGTCAAGTGATCCTTTCACATTAGCCTTCCAAAGTGTTGGAATTACAGGCATAAGCCATTGTGCCCAGTCAGAAACAAAGTTTTTGATGTTGCTGATATGCCTGTTTCCTTCCTTCCTTCCTTCCTTCCTTCCTTCCTTCCTTCCTTCCTTCCTTCCTTCCTTCCTCTTTCTCTCTTTCTCTCTTTCTTTTCTTTCTTTCTTTCTATCTTTCTTTCTTTTTCTTTTTTCTTTCTTTCTTCTTTTTCTTTCTTTCCTTCCTTCCTTCCTCCCTCCCTCCCCCTACCTTCCTTCCTTCCTTCCATCCTTCCTTCCTTCCTTTTTTTTTGAGACAGAGTCTCGCTGTGTCACCAGGTGCCAGGCTGGAGTGCAGTGGCACGATCTTGGCTCACTGTAACCTCCGCCTCCTGGGTTCAAGCAATTCTCCTGCCTCAACCTCCTGGGTAGCTGGGACTACAGGTGCACGTCCCTACGCCCAGCTAATTTTTGTATTTTTAGTAGAGAAGGGGTTTCACCATGTTGGTCAGGATGGTCTCGATCTCTTGACCTCATGATCCGCCTGCCTCGGCCTTGCAAAGTGTTAGGATTACAAGTGTGAGCCACCGCCCCCGGCCTGATATACCTGTTTTCTTAGAAAATCCAAGGGACTCATGAAAAAACAAGTAAAAAGAGAATTTTTTGCTCTGCATGAATACAAAATAAATTACAGAAAGCATCATCTTCTCTCTTTTCTGGTAAAAGCCCCTAGAAAAGGAAATGGGAAGAACACTTAATTCAGAAGGCAGGTGCTATAAAAAAATTTGGTATATATTTGGTAAGAAAGTTACAGAACATATATAAACAAAATTATAAAAATATGATTGGGAAATGAAAATAAAAATTGGAAAAGCTTATCATCTTCTTAGATGAAATGACTTACTGTCATGTCAATTCTCCAAAATTTAATACATAAGTCTAATGCACTACTAATTATTTTTTGTCTTATATAAAATGCCATATAATAATTGAAAAGGGCCTAAAGTCCAATATCTATATATAAAAGTAATTGTGAATGAGTATAATTTTAAATTTGGGGCTTTTTGAAGATTTGTTGAGAATAATCAAAACAACACTGAAACAAATTCTAAACCCTTTAATAAACACATTTTACATGATAAATGTAAAATTGCGTAAAGTAGATTTTAAATACCAGTCTCTCATTTCCTTCTCAATAAAAGGTGGGATTAAGGGGTTAAGTCTAGGAGGCTGAACTTTTTTTTGTCCACTTTGGTCTGGTCAAACTTGGCTGTACATTAGAACTACCTACAGAACTTCATAAGAATGTAGTTTCCAGAGTCTAATGCAAGAATTCCTGCAATCGTAACTTTGTAGCAAGAATTTTAGGCATCACTGGTCAACTTTATGCTACAAGGTTCATTTTTTACGGAAACCTAGAAAAGGGTATCCAATGTTTCCATTGGGAGGACTGTCATTTAAATCCTCTTTGTGGGAAATGACTCATTTCCTCTGAGAAATGAGAGTTGAAAACAGGTTTTAAAAAATAAATAAATAATATATATATTCTACTGCAGAGAGAATATGCAATGTTCTCTCTACAGCAGGAGACAGTAAAAGTATGCTGAGATTAAGATCATCTATTGGTTCGAGTTCGAAATCCAACTTTGTCTCGGTTTTCCAGTTGTGCTATCTTTGACAAATTAATACAACCTTGTAATTCTATTTCTTTATTTATAAAATGTGATAATAGTTCTTGCTTCACAGAATACTAGTTACTCACTGAAACACACTTATGATTTAATAAGTGTTAGCTAAACGCAAACAGAAACAACACAATTAAACACTCTCTTCAGCAGGAGTAAGTTGAAGGTTAATGTTACCACATGTTTTGGTAAGAGACCCACACATAGCAGGTACTTGCATATCTTGCATTAAGATTTAACATTTTGTGGCTCACACTGCAGTTTTATGAAAGGCATTAAGTATTCTCTTTCTCTCTAGCTCTCTTCTTATTAGTATTATTTAAAAAGTAATACCATTGGAATGTTCCCAGATCATGCTAGTTTGTGAATACAAATAAATTCATATTAATATCAGTGCCTAAATAAGGTTTAAGAATCATCTTAAGTTTAATAATCATTCCCTTGACCCTGCACTGCCTCCCTAGGATCCATCATTTAGGGCGAGAAATCCTCAGCTGTGACTTTCAGGTGCTCCTCCTTTACTGCTCTGGGCTCCTACTTAAGTTTCCTTGACCCTGTGTTAGCCACCAGTGTCCTTTATGAGAATATGCTCTTTCTGGGCAGATCAGTTCCTATTGCTGGCAAGGCTGTATGGAAGTCTATTGCAGGTTGGGTGAGAGAATGGGTCTCTTGCCAGCTCTGTGCTGTCCTTTGTCACCAGGCCTAAAGTAGTACTTCTTAGAACTTAAATTTCACAAATGAGTTTGTGAAGATGATTATTTAGCTTCTGGCCCTAACTTCTTTCCCCAGCAGGCTCAAAATCATTTGAGGACTCTGAGGAAAGCAAAGAATGCAGGCATCACACCATTGTCTCCACTTGTTTTGACAATTACCCGAGGCTGCCAGCACAAAAATTCCCCTTTCTTCATCCAGAAACGTGTTCCAAGAATGTCAGCTTATACAAGTAGATGGCTGCAGATGTCACTGGCCCATCGGGATCATAAATCATAAGGTTTAAATCCCTTTCTATATTCCTATCATCTAGCATCGGACATAAAGCACTAATTCAGAAGGCGCCTCATCTGTTTGTCTTCTGTTCCTGCTGTTCCCTTTGAAAAGGAAACAACTGCACAAGGAGAGAAGAATCACACATTTCTGAGCCTGAGGCCAGTCTGGCCCACTGGGGGACCCAATGCTCCAGCTCCTTGGCAACATGGAGCTCTGGGGATTTCTGCTGTACTGGTGCTGATGTATGAACCTTTACAACAACCATTAACATAATAACAATGCCATATCATACGGAAACAATTTAATTTTATTCCCGATTTCTTAAAAAGCTTTTTTTAGGTGATGTTAAATGTTGCTAATACCTCTGTTATTTAAAAAAATTTTTTGATAAGGTATATGAGGATCCATTATAATAGGTTCATTGAAAAATTCTTGCCCTTTCCTGGGAATGGAAGAATGATAACATGTATTATACTAATAGTGTATGCGTAATGCAAAGTGTAATATAGTGAAAATGATGATGTAAAGATGATTAACAAGGCAGCAGTGGAGAGTTCCTCTTCACCCTCATATGACTCTGACGGTATATTGTGCCGCTGATATTCGGCTAGTTCTGGATAAAGTCTAGCTTCTTTTTCGTCACTTTTTTTTTTACCTGAAGGTGATGCCTACCCTAGGTACCTAACTGCCTCCTCTCCACTCTAAAACCTATTTACACAAAGGAAGGTTAAATAGACCCACATTCAAGTTGGAATCATAGATGTGACATTGTTTCACGTATACGGTTCCCAGAGGAATTCTAGGGGAAAGAACAAGTCGAAAACTCCAGGTGGCAATGTCTGCTCTGCCTCTTATTATCGTGAGACTTTAACCCAGCATGACAAACCTTGATCCCAGTTCTCAGATATTACAAATCTCACCGGAGTTTTTAGAGGAATAAAGGAAGAAATGAAAATGAGACCATTCTCAGTACAATGGTCTATAGAAAGTGCTCAATTTATGTTGATTTACTCAACAAAGGACAAAACTTTAATCCAGAGAAAATCACTTTAAATTGCAAAATTTTAGATTATTTGGGATGCATTTGGAGGGCCTTTTTTTTTTCTTCTACCTTTAATCACATTTTATAGGCACTTGCCAGTTCTGGTTTTTTTTTTTTTTTTTTTTTTTTTTTTTTTTTTTTTTGTTTTTTTTTTTTTTTTTTTTTTTTTTTTTTTTTTTTTTTTTTTTTTTTTTTTTCCCCTTACAGATAAAACTGTACACTTGTCCTGATCTTCACCATGGTCTGAAACGAACCTCTGTGAGCCCAGTGTGACAGAGGTAGGGACCACAAAAGTCTAAGGAATTCATGTGTTGGGACTTCTTCCCGTTCTATACAATTCATTTTATGTGAGGACATGATTGCCTTTCCGTTTTTAAGACACTCATCTCTAAAATGGTGAACAATGAACCTCAAATATTCTTTAATTTCTGCAATGATCTTTTGTAAATCTTTATCTTGAAATGGCTTCCTAAATCTACATTTTTTTTTTTTTTTCCATCTGCCGTGGTTTAAAATTTGCTTAGCAGGAACTCTAGGTCAGAACTGTCCCTCACCTCCCTGGATCTACAAAGCACCTGCGGGATGGGGCCCCATCTGATTTTATTTCCTAACTTTCGAGCTGTTTATTCTTTGCTTCACAAAGGTGCTTAAACGATCTGAAGACTCTCTTCAAAGATTCAAGAAGCTGTTTTGTGGGAAGATGTCTGTGGTCAGAGGCAGGAGGAGGATCCGGCGCTTCGGGCCAGGAGGTAGACGGAGGTGGCAGGAGGCGCTCAGGCCAGCGCCTCTCGCATCTTTGAGGAGGGGCGCCGCCCAGGCGCTAGCGTTGCTAAGTCCTCTGTTTGCAGCGTTCTGAAGGAGACCCGAGCGGGACCAAGGCAAACGGGGAGCGGGGGTGGCGCGGGAAAGCTCGAGCAGTGTCTTCAGTAAATCTCCAGAAGCGGCAGCGGACCCTCGGCTGGTCCCTCCTGTCCCCAAGCACTCCTGACTCCGAGGGGGCAGAGGATTCCCCGCGTCCTTGGTTCCTCCCAACCGTCGTCGGCCCCCGGCGCCCGCGCCTCTCGGCACGTCGTACACCCCCGGCCGCGGCAGGCGAATGGTCTGGCCCGTCGGTAGCTGCCACCCGCTCGGACAGCTACAGCTGTTCCAGGCGCTCCGTGTCGAGCGCCGGAGTCCGGAGCCGTGGCTGCCACGGGCGGTGGGCTGGCGGAGGAGAGCTCCGGACCACCAGCGCAGGCTGCCGAGCCCGGGCGGCGGCCCGCGGGGAAGCTTCGAGGCGCGGGAGCAGCCGGGGGACCGCCTGCAGTGGAGACGCGAGGACTCGGGCTGGGGTTTCCTCACCCTGGTGAGTACCTGCTGCCACCATCCTCCCCCGATCCCCTTCTACCTCCCCACGCCCAAAGGTCCACCCTGGCCCTCATCCCGGGCCCCCAACCCGGGACCATCACTGCCCTGGGGACACTGTCCCCGCTGGGAGCCGCGGAACGAGGAGCTGCTGCGTTCGTACAAATGATTCAGCACCATTCGTGCCCCGAGAGGTTTGGGCAGGATGGGGGAGGGAGAGGGCGGAGGGGACGGGGTCAGTTGCCGTGATCTCACCTCAGTTTTTAGGCACCAGATGGAAGACTCGGGCAGGCGGGGTCGGGTGGGGTGAACGTGGAGGCTCTCTGCTGGTTATTCTATAATTCCGTCGTTTTCCCACGTCTTGGTATAAACCTTCGTGAGTATGCAGGGCATTCTTGAAAGTGTGTCACATTAATGCCTTTTTCGCACACGCGAGTGAAGTCTAGGGCCCTTGTTGATACCTCTCACTTTCTACACGTCTTGCTCCATTGGATGCCTGACTCATGCCATCATCCACTTTTATCACATCGCAGCATTCCCTCGACTGATGTGAAAGATACCCTGTGAAAGTTGCCTTGTATTCTGTGTGGGTTTGCTTGATACTGGCATAGAAAAAAAAGATTTAGGGAAGGTAGGAAATAATACATTCAGAGTCTAGGCACTTACTTTTATATATCGTATTTTATTAAGTCATCGTAATAACCCAGAACCAAATGTGGAAACTGAGGAGCAGGGAAGTTAAATTACATTCTCAAGGTCACAGGACAGGAATTCGAATACAGGTTTTCCTGACTCTGTATAGTTCATGGGCTTTCCACTGTATTAATGAAGTGTGTCCAAGTATACATATATATATGCTCTTATTAGATATTAAACATAGAATCAATTAATTGAGGCATAATCTCAAACAGCAGCAACAACCTGTAAACTTTCTGCATATGGAATTATTGCTCTTTCAATATGAAAGTAAGATGCTTTGAGTCGTCAAAAATGTATTTTCTTAGAAAGCATATGGCAAAAAATATGTGAACAACACTACAGAGTGAGGTCATAACAGGAGATGTTCAACACATTTTTAGCAGTGACATGTGGATGCTTAAGTGTTGGGTTGGAGAAATTGATTTAAAAAGTAGGAAGAACTCTGGAAATCTTTTTCTTAAGTGTTAGGGAGAAATTTACAATAATAATAGCTACTTAGTTCGTTAGATGTGTGACTGAACTGCGCCCCACAATAGGGTGACAGATGCACTCATACTAAGATAATGTTACTTGATTCATTACAACTCTGTGATTTTGCATAACAGGTGATAACTCTATTTTACAGACTAAGGAAAAAAATTCAGAGAAGGTTCAAGATCACTGAGTAAGTGGTGGAATTTGGACAAGCCTTGACTGTTAGTCAGTTTAGAAATATGCATGTTGTAGTAAAATGTAGTTTTTATATAGGGAAAACTGAATTAGTTTGTTGTTACCCTGCCCTTCAGAGACAACAATTACATTGATCTTCTATGGTCCTCCTGTAAAAATAATGGATGCTAGGTCTTTCTTTGCCTGTTGATGGGTCTTTTGACTTGCTTTATTAGGGACTTACGGATTTTCTCTTAAGAAATACATCTCTTGTTTATGTCTCAGAAGGCAGGTTGTTATAGTAGAGATGCTTATTATCTCTAAATACTCATCATAGTATTTGATGATAGGCAGGAATAGATTCCATCATTAGTCCATCATTTAGTCCATCATTTCTAAAGTATTGAGCCATTTGCATTGGAGAATTCTTTTTCAAGTTAATGGGAATGCTGATAAAGTCCACTGCCTAAATAAGGACATAAAATGGAGGCACAGATTTATATTTGTTGTTCAAACAAGACTGTGAGAAGTGGAGTCTTGTGAAAAGTCTTGAGTTTGATTCCTAAAAGGTCATTTGATTTTGTTCTTTACATGGCTATAACCTATATTCTGAACCTTGGCATGACATCTTGCAATCCAATCTGTTTAATCCTAAGGGGGACAGCAGAACTGGTATGAATGAATAAGCAAAAATACAATATCACTGCTATTAAAAAAAAAAAAAAAAAGGAAAGTGCATGGCCTGGTGATGGATGGTCACCAGCAACGTTTTAAAACAGAGGCAGCACATTTTACTTAGATGACATCACTGAGAGTATTAATATAATACCAACTTGGCTTTAGAACTGCTCTCTCTCTCCTTCTCTCTCTGTTTGTCCAATGACTATAGTCTGTAAACCATCTAAATTCCTCACTTCAAGAAACTTAAAGTCTAGCAGGAGAAATATTTACTTACACGTGAGTAATTAACAAATAACTTAGAATTGGCTTAATGCCAGAAAAAGGTGGTACAGACTTAACTGCTATAGCAATACCTTAAGAGAAACGAGAAATAGTAGAGCCTTGGATGATCAGAGGATCAGAAAAACCTTCATGGGTTGAAGTGAATTAAATCAGTCTCAGAGTTGGGAAGTTTTCTGACAGGCAAAGAGAATGCCACACAAAGGTTCAGATAAGAAGTGCTCATGTGCTGTTTGGATAGATGGTGAAAGATCATGAAGAAACTTGAATGTCAGGCAGTGAGATGTTTTTGATCTGTTAATCCTTTCTCTTTCTTACATTTTCCATATCCTTTGCCTTGAGTCCTCTTTCAGGAAATGGTCTGTTTCCTGGGTACTAAAAGGATTAGTTGTCAACTAAACCCAGAAATGATTTTCTGTGCAAGTACAATTTTTCCTCTTCCAAAGGAATTTGCCTTTTAGCTCTGGCCCCCATTAGAGAATTATGAACAATTTAGAAACTACAAGAATACAAAAAGGAAAAAAGCACCCTCATAATCTCACCAACTAAAGACAATCACTATTCATTTTTGACGTTTCTTTCCACTTTTTTCATGTGTAGTTTTAATTATGCTATCTATATTACTTTCATATTATTTTTAAATTTAAAATTCTACAACTTCAGTTTTCATTTAATTACAATTAGGCTTAATACTAGTTTTAAAATGCCTAATATGCTTAAAAATGCCTACATAATTTTCCATTTGGTAGATGTATATCATTTCCTAATGATTCCTCATTGTCACTATTGATGACATCACAATAAACAATTGTTGATGATAATAATAGCACTGTGATGAACATCTTTGTGCATATCGTCTTTTTTTTTTTTTTTTTGTATCCTTAACATAGACTCTCAGAAATAAAATTTCGGGGTTAAAGGGTATGAGGTCTTGGAGTTGCACTATTCTAAGCAAGTTTTGAAACTACTGGGTTCTTATGTTAGGTCATTTTTTCACTGATATAAACAAATACCTGAACTAGGTAACTTATAAGAAAAGAGGTTTAATTGGCTCACAGTTCTGCAGGCTGTGTAGGAAGCATATCAGCATCTGCTTCTGGGGAGGCCTTAGGAAACTTCCCATCATGTTGAAGGGGAAGGGGAAGGAGGCATGTCACATAGCGGAAAGCAGGAAAAAGAGAGAGAGTGTGAGGGGGTAGTGCCACACACCTTAAATGACCAGATCTCACGAGAACTCAGAGTGAGCACTCACTTACCACCAAAGGGATGGGCTAAGCTGTTCATGATGGATATGTCCCCCTGATTCAGATATCTCCTACCAGGTCCCACCTCCAACCTTGGGGATTAAAATTCAACATCAGATTTGGATAGGGACCTATATCCAAACTATATCATTTCCCCATGTTGCATTTAGATCACTTACATGTTGATTATAGAATATTTGCCTATTAATAATTAATAACACCCAATCTTGTCTGTGGCTCCTCAGATTATACTCTTTCAAGCAACTTCTTTTGATTAGAAATACTGATTAAATCATGGGGACTGGGAGAAAGGCAGGCAGTTGGTGTTAATGAGGAGAGAAGATGTTAATTTGGAGAAGAGTCTTGGTAAGAGTGAGCAAGAGTTTATAGTCAGAGAAGGAGAATATGTGATAGACTATTTTCTGGTTCCAGTGTTGTTTTTGTGGACATCACCTATAAACCTCTGCACTCCCTCACCCACAATACACACCATGTCTATCTCCTTCAAATTTCAGCTTCTTCCATTCTTCTGTATCAGATTCCCAGGTCTCCAGCTTCAATGTCCTGATATTGCAAGGCACAGCTGTGAGCTCACTTTTGCACTCTAATTTGGGGAATTCACAAAGGAGAGAGAAGGAATATGGGACCTCTGCTTAGGTCTGAGCAGTAGTCCTGGGCAGAAGGTATAAGGTGTAAGGGAAGCACACTTGACAGACATTAAAGAGCCCTCATGCCTCCCCTGTACATTTGCCAGAGATGACCTTTGAGAACAGTGATTGGGAGATGCATAACGTTCCCAACATCTCTTAGCATTCAGATGCTCCCTTCCCCTTGTCCCCAGTATCCCTCCACCAGAGGAGATCTCCCTCATGGAGGAGAGAAACTGTGCCTCAGTTTCCTCTATCCATTGAAGGGATACATGGTACTACCTTCTTGCAATGAGAAAGGCAGGGGCCCAATGTTGGACAGGTACTTTGGCTGGGCTCCTGACTTCCTCTTCCAGGTTCTTCCCTGAGCTTCCTTTCTGTCCTGCCTCCACTCCCTTTCAAGGCTGGGAATCCATTGAGGTCACAAGGCTGGGAATCTATTGGGTAGGCAGGCCTTTAAGCATCCCTGAGAGCCAGTGGAAGCAGAGCCAAGGCAGATGAATGTGCATGAGGGCACAACTAGGGAACAGAGAGGCAGGTTCTTATAATACGCCATCAGTCTTGAAAGACTTGAAACAATGAAAGCAAAAGCATCACATTACAAACCAAAAAAAGGATTTCCACCCCATTTTTCAGGTCCTGAAAGAGGATTTCTGATAGAAGTTGAACATTGACATAGGCAGAGTATTTTAGGTAGAATTTGTCCTGTGCCTAGCTGAAACCTATTATTAAAAAGTTTGTAAGCTCTTAGAAGGTGGTAAATCTATCTCCATTTCTCTCAGGCATTATCTGTCAAAATTGAA